ATAGAATAGAATAGAATAGAATAGAATAGAATAGAATAGAATAGAATTAGGAATAGGAATAGGAATAGGAATAGGAATAGAATAAGGAATAGGAATAGGAATAGGAATAGGAATAGGAATAGGAATAGGAATAGGAATAGAATAGAATAGAATAGAATAGAATAGAATAGAATAGAATTCTTTATGGGCCAAGTGTGATCGGACACACAAAGAATTTGTCTCCGGTGCCTAAGCTCTCATTGTACATAAAGCTACAATGACCAGATGACTGCAAATAATATACATCCTTCTATTCCCCAAGAAGCTTCTTCGGTGGGAAGTGAAACATTTTCATTCAACCCTGAGCTACAAACAGTTTCTTCTGTTGATATTCCTCTTTGTTGTAGCTAACGTCCAAGTTTGAGGTTGTTGTGGGCATGTAGCCCATATTTCTGGGGTGCCTCTCCTCTTTAGAAGGTTTAGAAGGAGCGATCGATCCCCTGTGGAACTTCCAGGCCCGTGATAAGAATAAAATGGTGGGAAAGCCTCGTCCCGGCTTCGGCATGGAACGACCACCCTTGGCAAGTTGCACAAACACGGCACAATCTCACTGTCTGTGGCCTGTGGGGAAAAGCAGTTTCTCTCACCTGTGTCGGGCAGGGCTGCCAATCAAAACATGTCTGATCCTGTCCGACTCTCCTGTGTTTACCTGTCTTTTCCCTTGGGAAACTTCAGTTTTAGCTGGGAAGACGAGATGGGAGTACAGGATGTTTCACCCCCCTTCTACATCTGAAAAGATTTTTAAGCACAGGTAAATCCTCAACTTACAACCGTTCATTTAGTGACAATTTGAAGTTACAACCGCACCGGGGAAAAAAGTGACTTAGGACTATTTTTCACACTTACAACCGTGGCAGTGTCCCCCGTGGTCACGTGATCAAAATTCGCCCGCTTGGCCATTGGTTCATATTTATGACGGTTGCAGAGTCCTGGGTTTGTGTGATCCGTTTTTGCGACCTTCCAACAAACCCCACAGAAAAAGGGAACATGTTTCCCATAAACACCTCAGGGACACAATCAAGGGACAAAGTGTAAAACTGGCGATAACAGAAACTTTAGCCCGGCAATGTTCTTAAAAAAAAATTGGGGGAAAAGTCAAAGTATTTGTGGAAAACAAAGATTATATCTAGGCAGACAAAGCCCTGTGTTTATAAAGATGAAGAGAAGGACCAGGGTATTCAGCAGGTTCTGACCAGTTCCGGAGAACCAGTAGCGAAAATTTTGCATAGTTTGGAGAAACAGCAAACGCCACTCTGACTGGCCCCGCCCCCATCTATACTCCGCCTCCCGAGTCCCAGCTGATTGGCTGGGTCTTCTTTGGTTGCCCTGAACAGGAGAATGGAGCTGGAAAGCAGGTTAGTGGAGTGGGGACAGAATGGGGATTTTATAGTAACCTCCTTTCAGGAGTGAGGAGGGAATGGAGATTTTACAATATCCTTCCCATGGAATGGGCTGGCAATGGGGATTTTGCAGTAACCTTTCCCTGCCACGCCCACCAAGCCACGCTCACAGAACCAGTAGTAAAAATGTTTGAATCCCACCACTGATCCTCAGCCATCGAAGAGAATGAAGCTTTGTTGAAATTCACATAACAACTTTGTTATGTAGTGCATATAGGAGATGGTGACCCTTTGAGAGCTGTAGGGAACGAAATTTCACTTTAATGCATGCCGATTTGTGTACGTTCAAAGTGACAATAAAGTTATTATTCTATATTCTATTCGTTGAATTTCTAGTGGGCAAATCCTGCCCTCTGGAGGTTAACGCTTGAAACTACAGCTCTTTTAGCAGGCACCACTGTCCTCATTCTAAGTGATTCGCACACTTAACACTAACAAAGGAAGGTTTCTTACTTTAGAGCAAGGATCTTCAAACTTGGCAAGTTTAAGACTTGTGGACTTTAACTCCCAGAATTCCTGAGCTAACATGACCTGAGGAGGAATTCTGGGAGTTGAAGTCCACAAGTCTTAAAGCTGTCAAGTTTGAAGGCCCCTGCCTTAGAGGGATCGTATTCACAATTTCCATGAAAGTGTAACTGACTTAGCAAAACCCAGGTACAGATGGATTTACGACTGCTTGCTTAGTGACTTTTCAGTTATGAGATTCTTCTCCCAGAACTACTTATGACCCAGCTTTGAATTTGAATAGGAAGGGAGCGCATGTTACTTAGGAGTATTTGCAATGTAAAGAAAAAAATAAATAAATTCAGAATCAGAAGAATAAATAAAAAGTAGGAAACATGCCAGCGACCCCTTGATCTACCTCTGGAGTTGTGACCCTCTTCCCAAACTTTATACTTAATCATGAAATTGCTAGACCAATTCCCAAATACTGTCTAGAATCTGCACTGCATATTGAACATTAATATAATTGAGAGAGTCCAGAAATATTTCACGAGAACAGTCCTCCACTCCTCTACTCCCAACAGAATAACCTATGCCTCCAGATTTGAAATTTTAGGCTTAGATAACTCAGAACTACGCCGCCTTTGGTCCAGTGGTGGGATTCAAATTTTTTAACTACTGCTTCTTGTGGGCGTGAGTTGGTGGGTGTGGCATGGCTTGGTGGGCGTGACAGGCGAAGGATACTGCAAAATTTCCATTCCCACCCCACTCCAGGGGGAAGGTTACTTCCGGTTCTCCGAACTACTCAAAATTTCTGCTACCAGTTCTCCAGAACTTGTCAGAACCTGCTGAATACCACCTCTGTTTCGGTCCAACCTAAGCATAGTACATAAAACTATCCATTACAATGTCCTACCTGTCAATGAGTACTTCAGCTTCAACCTCAACATGAGCACACAATAAAAACAAACTTAGGGTAAACTGCATCAAACTCAACTGCAGGAAATACGACTTCAACAACAGAGTGGTCAATGCCTGGAACTCACTTCCTGACTCTGTGGTCTCTTTCCCAACCCCACCATAACTTTAACCTTAGACTGTCTACTGTTGACCTCACCCCATTCCTGAGAGGTCTGTAAGGGGGCGTGCATAAGCGCACCAACACGCCTACTGTCCCTGTCTTAAAATTCCCTTTTATTCATATCTATTTCTTGTGTTAATAATCATGTTTATACATTATATATATTATCAAATGCATGCTTGACAAAATAAAAATAAATAAAATCCTGTTCCATCCGCTTCCCTCCTTCACGAAAGCTTTTATTTGGATCGGACTGCCACTGCTTGACGCATGCCTATGTTGCAAAGAGGTTGATAAAAGCATAGGTCGCACGGGGGTTGTAGACCTACCAAATCTCAACTATGCATTGTGTGGAGATGCGCGACCTGCATGCTGATCGGTTGATCCGACTTCCTGTCGGAAAATGTATTAGTGCTTTGTTGTTGGTAACTACTAAAATAGGCATAGGAATGCTTTATGAGTTGACATTCCAACTCTTTATCTTTAAAAGATTGTAACTAAAATACCAGAGCTTTTGCCCGGGAATATATTTAATTGGGGAACTTGAATGATGACACCCAGCCTGTGAACGTGCTCAATTGGAGAATGTGATTTATGACACACCCAGAGGGGAGGGGGGAAACAGGGTCACAGGGACTGTAAATAACATATGCCAGAATTGGCTTCATACAGGGCAGTGCCAGTATGTCGCCTCTAATTAATCCTTTGAAGTTTTTTGAAGTTTGGGTCGAGAATCATGATTTAATTAGAACAATTGCTGGAATCCTGACAGTCATTTTGAGCAACCCCCTAGCCCAGGGGTCTGCACCTTAAACACTCAAAGAGCCATTTGGACCCATTTACCCACAGAAAACACCGGGAGCCAATAATTTAACCACCGGTGTGACTGGGTAGGCATGGCCAGGTCACTCACTCCCAACCAGTCACTTCCTGCTCTGGAATATGGAGCGAGTCTCCATCCCGCGCCATCACCCTTAGCTTCTCAGGCCAGGCGAGGAATGATGGGGAGGGGAGGGGCCAGCCAGTGGTGGGATCAGCTGACAGGGAGCCACAGCAGAGGGCCAAAAGAGCCGCATGTGGCTCCAGAGCTGCAAGTTGGCAGATCCCTGCCCTAGCCAAAACATTAAACTTGGAAGTACCCTCCAAGCAAGAGACACCTGTGTATCAAAATAAAGGAGAATATTTGTAGCTCAGTGTTAAAATGAGGGGGGGGTTGGGTGCTCTCTGAGCTCGCTTTCTTGCAGACGTCTCATTACCAAGCTAGGTAACATCATCGGTGCTAGAGACACATACGTTCCCTGACGTGCAGTGCTCAAGTCTAACCCAGGCATTAACCATTATGGTCCCTCCTCCCAGTCTCCCTGCCCCAAGGTTGAATCCCAAAAGGTTAAGAAACAAAGAGTTTTATTTTGTTTAACACAGAAGGCCAGTCTATTGAGTTTCAGTCATTCACAGCCCAAAAACGCCCGTCAGATGTTGGAGGAAAGAGAGCCTCAAATCTCAAAAGAGAACACCCTTGAGAGCCATGCAGTGCAGATCTAAGGTGAGGCCAGGAGTGCCCGCCACTCCATTTGCTAATAAAGATATCACTAGATTAAAGCAAGGAAACTGGAGTTATAAGGTGGGTCTATCTTCGTTTTGGAATCAGTTCAAGAATTCGAAGCGAACAAGTTGCATTTGACTGTTGTTGTCTTCGCTTGTGTTTTGCACAAGAGTGTAGAAGTGACACTGGGGGCTTTCTAGAGGCCCAGAATATTGTTGATCTTGAGAAAGGAGACACTGCCTTAAACAGGAACATCCTGGATTCCGCATTTGAGGTTTGCAGGAACTGCAAAATCTGCCAAAAAGAAGAAAATGGAAGCATTAGAACGAGGTACGGTGGCGCAGTGGTTGGAGTGCGGTTACTGGAGGCTATTTCTGCCGACTGCCGGTTGCCTGCAATTTGGGCAGTTCGAATCTCACCAGGCTCCAGGTTGACTCAGCCTTCCTTCCTTCCGAGGTGGGTAAAATGAGGACACAAGATTGTTGGGGGCAATAAGCTGACTCTGTAAATCGCTTAGAGTGGGCCGTAAAACACTGTGAAGTGATATATGTCTGCTATTGCTATTTAGGAAGGAAGGAAGGAAGGAAGGAAGGAAGGAAGGAAGGAAGGAAGGAAGGAAGGAAAGAAGGAAGGAAGGAAGGAGTTGTGGTGGCACAGTGGTTAGAATGCAGTACATATTCATTGTCCAGAGTGAGACCCTTGCCTTAAAACTAAAGATTAGGAAGGGAAGAGGATTATGCTGCAGCCAGCTGCCTACAATTTGTCAGTTCAAACCCCACCAGGCTCAAGGTTGACTCAGTCTTCCATCCTTCCGAGGTCAGTCAAATGAGGATCCAGATTTGGGGGCAATAGGCTGACTCTGTAAACCGCTTAGAGAGGGCTGTAAAGCACTATGAAGTGGTATATAAGTAAGTGCTATTGCTCTTCCCCTCCCTCCCTCCCTCTCATCCTTCCATGGTACACAGTGATTAGTATGCAGTATTGCAGGCTAACTCTGTCAACTGCCAGCAGTTCGATTTTCACCGACTCAAGATTGACTTCCATCTTTCCGAAGTCAGTCAAATGAGGACCCAGATTGTTGGGGGCAAGATGCTGACTCTGTAAACCGCTTAGAGAGCAGTGGTAAAGCACTGTGAAGCGGTATATAAGTCTAAGTGCTAGTGCTAGTGCTAATGCTATTAGATCCTGTGAAGGAGACAGAGATTCGCAGACCAGAAATATGGGAGGAGATGTTTTATCTTCTGGCTATGGGGAAGAACCAGCTTATGTGTCTTTATTCTGATGTAAGACCCCCTGTGTTTTTAGGGGTCTAGCAAGCTAGGAGCAGCATGCTTGTAAACTCCTTAAGTGGATCAGTTACAAGCAAACAGCTGCATTTGTGGGGTAGGTAAAGTGGGTTAATATTTATTGGAGATGCGGGTATGGACTTTGCTGGCTGAGGAACTTTGGGAGTTAAAGTCCACAAGTCTTAAAGTTGCCAAGGTTGGAGACCCCTGCTATAGAGGTTCTTCCAGAAGAGCCATTAACATGGAGCAGATAATAGTCCAGAAGACACACACACACACACACACACACACACCCCCCCTCTGCTCCTCTCTCCCTCAGAGTAACAGAAGCCAGACTCACCAATCTTTTTGGGTTTGGGTAGGTTCAGGTTGTTCATAAGCTCAACGAAACCCTCCTTAGACAAGATCAGACGGGGATTAAGAGTCCGTTCTTCCTCCACTGTAGACACCGTCTGGCCTGGACCGGAGGAAGAAGAGAGAGAATGGATGTTATTGCCAGGGGTGGCCTTCCAAAAAATTTAGCAACTGGTTCTGTGCCCGGGTTCCTGGGTGGGCGTGGCCTAACCAGCCTCATGCACCATGGCAGCGGCAGGGGCGGGTTGTTTTGACCTCCTTGGGCTCCGGAGGCTTTTCTTGAGCCTCCAGGAGGGCGAAAATGGCCTCCCTAGGCTTCGTAGGCCCTCAGGAGGCCAGAAATGAGCCTACCGGGACTTCTGGGAGGCCCATTTTTCGCCCTCCCTGGGCTCCAGAGGCTTTTTTCGAGCCTCTGGGAGGGCAAAAATGGCCTCCCCAGGCTTCGAAGGCTCTCCAGAGGCTGAAAACGGGCCCATTTTCCAGGCTTCCAGAGCTTCCGGGAGGCCCGTTTTTCGCCCTCTGCGTGGGCCCTGCACTTACCTGGGATCCAAAGGGCGGCATGGAGACTCCTGGGAGGGGAGGGGCAGGCAGGTCCAGCCAGTCGTTGCAACTACCGGTTTGGCGAACGAGATGTAAAATTAACATCCGGTTCGCTTGAACCGGTGCAAACTGGTAGCAGCCCACACCCCGGTTATTGTGCATATAATATGCACTAATTTTAAGTTTTTAGTTCATGAAGCCACAAGCCATAATAAATCTGGTGTCTCTATATTCACCTCAGAATGTTGATTGTTAAGGGTAAAATCTAATGCAAACTAAACTTAAAGATAAAAAAAAGAATAAAGAGCTCTCACCAACTCACCTGTATAATCATGGGCAGGATAGATCAGGCAATCCCCTGGAAGGGTGAATATTTTCTTGTGGACTGAGTTGTACAGGGTTTCTGCAGAACCTGGGGACGAGAATGGAGCTATAACCATCAAGCAGATTCTTTTTTCCCCCTCCCTAATATAGAAGTTGGAGCAGGATGCCCAGAGGGGTTTATCCCCCAACTCCTACCCTGACAAATATTAGGCCGAAAACCATCTCTTGTAACATATGTGTAAGTCTCCTTCACGCAACCAGAATCTCTAGAGCAGGGGTGTCCAACCTTGGCAATTTTAAGACTTGTGGACTTCAACTCCCAGAGTTCCTCAGCCAGCAAAGCCGTTGTAACTTTGAATGGACACTAAGAGAACTGTTGTAAGTCGAGGACTACCTGTATAAAAACCTCCACACTCTCCCGAGCTGCAAAGCTCATAACCAGATCCTAAAGTCTTCCATACTGTTCTGACCCAAACCTTGTTCCAAGGAAACGAACTCGAAATGGAGGTAACAGCAAAACCTTTCAGTGATTTCTTATTAATTCTGTTCCTTCAAGGTTAAAAGGCTGTTTCAAACTAATTGTCTCTGATAAGAACGAGCCTTGCCAAGGTGGTGCAAGGCTGCCAAGAACACTAGATAAAGTTGTGAAGAAATATTTCAAACACAAAGAGTGTCCAAACACCAACCAAGATAGTCCGAACATCCACAAGGCTTGAGTGCAAAAACTTCTTTGCTTCCTGCAAAGAACTCCGGTTTCTCAGCTGGCTTTTATCTCTTAAGGGAGGGGCCATCACCTTGCAGCCTTACTCCCGAGTCACCCGTCCTGCTGCAGCTGCTCTTTCCTTCAAGCAGCCCTGCACACACACGCACTGGGCCCAGGCTCCTCGGGGACCTCTTCATCACTGCTGCCAGCCTCCACAATCTCTAAAGGCAGCGTTCCACTCCCTGATGGTCCTGGCCCCATCCCTGCAATCACACGCAGGCCCCTCATCTGAGTCCTCGCTCTCCGAGACCTCAGCCATCCACACCTGCTGCTGGAGAACCACAACACATACCTTGTTGGAAGTCAGTCCTGCCACATCCTCTGATCAACAAGGCATCTCCTGTAAAAGCCATAGTGTTGTCATTCAGCACATAGGTCAGGCAGCCATCCGTGTGGCCAGGGGTGGCACGAGCTTGTAATGCCTGAAACCATAACAACACGTCACTAATGTTCCTAGAGCCTGTCTCCCGTTTTATATTAGCATTCTGTTCTTATTCCTCTGCCTACAGAAATGGAACTACAACCCCCAGAATTCATAGCAGCAAGGACAGAGGTGGCATTCCGTAGGTTCTGACCAGTTCTGGAGAACCGGTAGCGGAAATTCTGAGTAGTTCAGAGAACTGGCAAATCCCACCACTGACTGGCCCCGCCCCCACCTGATCCCAACTGATCAGCTCGGTCTTCTTTTGTTGCCCTGCACAGGAGAACGGAGCTGGAAAGCAGGTTAGTGGGATGGGGAGGGAATGGGGATTTTGCAGTATCCTTCCCCCAAGAGTGGGGTGTCAGGATTCCAGCAGTTACCCCAATTAAATCATGAGTCTCAAGATAAACTTCCAAAACTTCAAAAGGATTTATTGGGAGTTAAAAGGTCCAGCATTGCCTGGGTATAGCCGACTCTGAGACACATCATTCACTGTCACCCTTGACCCTGGTTTTTCCCCACCCCCTGGTGTATCATAATTCATATCCTCCAATGGGACACATCCATAGCCAAGAGTCATCAATCATGCTCTCCAGTTAGAATTTTGCATGGCAGAAACTTCAGTCACCTAGTTATTATCTTTGAAAACTATTTATGGAATGCACTTTTGATTTCCAAGCTGCCGCACTGCTCCCCCTCCCTTTCTGTTGGCAACTCTAAAAAGACCATAGAAATATTTTATGAATTGACATGGGGAGGGAATGGGGATTTTGCAATATCCTTCCCCTGCCAGGCCCACCAAGCTACGCCCACCAAGCCACATCCACAGAACCAGTAGTAAAAAAAATTTGAACCCCACCACTGAACAAGGGGGATAGCAAGGTGTTTGGGGAATGCTACAGACAACACAGTCCTGATGCCCTTCGATTATGCATCACCTTGACAAGCTTCCCTGTTGAGTAGCAATAGTAACAGCCCTCAGACTTATATACTGAGAGAATTAAGCAAGCCTGTTGGTAAATTGTTGGGAAATAAATGAGGAGGCAGGGTGGAGTGCAGGAAGTGATAAATGCATTATTTCTAAATGAGAGGAACTAGCAGCTTCACTCCGTTGTGTGCTGGGCAGGCTCCCTCTCCCATATTATGTCTACAATTTACGAAGGACTCAGAAAAACTGGAGCAAATTCAGAGAAAGGGAACAAGCACGAAGAAAGAACCAGTTCGCTTAACAGTTGCGGCATTTGCTTAACAACACAACACTAAAGGTCGTGAAATCGGGGCTGGACATGTGGCTGACCTGTTTTACAATTGTCCCAATTTAGGACCGCGATGGACAGCCCATTACAGGCGTAAGTCAAGAGCTACCAGCAGCCAAGGCGAAGGGGTCTTAAGAGCCCAGTTCCTGTTTATGCTACTTATTCTCCAGGAAACTGTTGTCTGACTTACGAAAGCTCCAAATTGGAGGCGATAGCCTTCCTGGATCAGGAGATCAGCGACAGCCCCACTGTCCTTGCAGATGACACTACGACAACCCGGAAGGAGTTGCTTCAGGAGTCCCGTACCGGAGATATGATCAGCGTGGCAATGGGTGTTGACTAACAAGGAGGAGGAGAAACATATGGTTGTTTTCTTAAAGAGACAAGATCAAGAATCTAACTCAGGTTTTCACAACCTGGCCACCTTTCCAATGAGCGTATTTCAAGACAGGCAACCCTTAACTTACAACCATTCGTTTAGCGTTACAATAGCACTGGAAAAAAAGTGACTTATGGCCAGTCCTCCTCATGCTGTACTTACGACCATCATAGCACCCCAAGGTTTAGGGCACACCGGCATTTATTTACGATGGTTTCAGAGTTCTTGAATCGAGTGACCTCCATCTGCAATCTTCCCAGCTGGCTTCTGATAAAGCCAAGTCAATGGGGGAATCTGGGTTCACTTAACTTATGATTCACTTTAAGAACTTTCTGGGAATTGCTTAATAACTGTGGCAGCAAAGGACATAAAAACAGGCGCAACTCAAGTGCTTAAGCAACCACCTTGCTTAGCAACGGAAATTCTGGCCCCAACTGTGGTCGTAAGTTGAGGATTATCTGTACCCCTGCTCCAAACTCAGCATGGTTGGTACTGAGCATCCTCAGAATTGAGTCTCCCACCCATCTGGAGGGCAGCCCTTAAACTAACCCGTCCTCTCTCTCTCTCTTCTCTCACCCAGGAAGCATATAATCCCATCCACCTGAGACCGGGTGAAAAATAGACAGAAAACTGTTCCCCTTAGATATCCCAAAGGTGCTTTCTTCAAGAGGTAACTGGACTTTCTTGTTTTTTTTTCTTTGAAGACGTTTCACTTCTCATCCAGGAAGCTTCTTCAGCTCTGGCTGGATGGTGGGGAATGGAAGGATTTATACTCCTTGCAGACAGCTGGTCATTTGCATCCTTTTAGCTATTGTTCCCCCTAGAATTTATTTTCAGTCTCAAATCTTGTTTTCTTAAAAAAGGAAAGACATTACTTTAAAAGGAGATCAATCTTCCTTCAGCTGATAACATCCAGAGAGGTTGAACACCAATTCTTAGGTTACCAAGCACCGCTGACACCTCCGTTCTGTTATCCATCTCCAATTATATCATGGCTACTTTCTGAAGATCCTGACAGACCATGGTTGCTGTGTGGTTTACCTTTCGTTTTTTTTCAAGAAGAAACAACTCACCTGCGTAAAGCAAATTGAGTCCAAGTTGCTTCACCAATGTTGAATCGCGTTTGGCAGTTTCCAAAACGGGGTCTATTAGAACGGCTTCCTTTGTCTTCACATCCGCCAGCAGGTAAGTGTAAGTATAACTTTCTGACTCAAAGAGCTGGTAGGTGAAGTGGGGAAAAAAACCAACAAAAACTTAGTCCATGGAAGAGCAAGTCAAACAGTCCATGTCAGCCTTCAAGATTTCTTTCCTTTGCTTTGCATCTTTCAGCTGTCATGTGTAATGGGGGGAGGAGGGGTGAAATAGTTATGGGAAGCAAGCTGGAGGTTTCAGAGAATAAACTAAATAAAATAAAAGTGGGGGGGGGGAGTTTCTTGTTTATGTTTCTTTCTTATGCTATGCACAAGCGCACCTCTTTATCAAAATATGTCAAGGTCAACAGACAGATGCCACATCACTACCTGAAGATGCCCACATGATGTTACATACAACTTTTAATTGGATGAACACATTGAACTATTGTGGGTGGGAACGTTGCCATCACTTTGTATATGTGATTTACGCGCTCATTTTCTCAGATTCAGAATTCCTTTGATGCTACCACTTGATTTCTAGTAAAAGATATCTTTTCTCTAATTAATGGAGTCTAAGTATTTCTTTCTTGGATTTTGAATGGAGCACCAGCTGACATTCCAATTGTATCTAGTCATGCTGGCTGGGGAATTCTGGGAATCGAAATCCAAAAGTTGCCAAGTTTGGAGAGCTCTGCTCTAAGAGCCCCAGGATCATTTCAATTAAAAGGATTGTTATTGTTCATGCTGTTATTATTAAATTAAAGCAAACGACTAAATTTCCATTGTATCCAACACCTTACATGAATTGCTATCCATATTAAATCTGCACCCTGAATTTTAATTAATTACAATTAACTGATTTTTTTATTGCCTGCATCTATCTCTCAGAGAAACTGTCATACTGCAACTCCCCTGTCTAAAAAGAGATTATTTCAGATTTTATTCCTCAAGAAATTATAGGTACATGGACTAATCCCCTAAATTTAACACATTGTTGGAGCAATATGCGGACTCTGTAAATAGGATAGAATAGAATTCTTTATTGGCCAAGTGCGATTGGAAACACAAGGAATTTTTCTTTGGTGCATATGCTCTCAGTGTACGTAAGCATATGCTGTGTACGTATGTACAGTGTTGTCAGCGTTCCAGAAAAACCTCTGGTGCTAATATGGCTTCCAAAGCTGACGCGGTGTACATAAAGCAGTATATAAGTCTAAGTGCTATTGCTCCTAAGTAAAACTTGTAGTATCCCTCCCTGCACTGGAAAGAGGAAACAATTTTAAAAGTAAATTCCGTGACAAGTTTTGGGAGGATAGAAGTATTCATTTTAATGCTTGGATACCCATCTTTAAAACAAGACAATCAGCATGTGAAGCTCCACTTCCACACAATACCCCACAAACCCTAAACCCTTGAACTTCCTGTTAAGAGGCCCGGTCTTTTCAGAGAGGAAAACATTTGACTACCAAGAGCCTGGCTCAAACCAGGCAATTATCTCCAAACTCCCATCCTACCTCTTTCCCAACAAGCTCACACTTTATTTTTATTTATTTATTGGTCAAGCATGTATTAGAGTACAGATACAAGTATGAACACAATTATTAATACATGAAATAGATAAGAATAAAAGGGAACATTAGGACAGGGACGGCAGGCACATTGGTGCGCTTTTGCATGCCCCTTAAAGACCCCTTAGGAATGGGGTGAGGTAGACAGTCTAAAGTTAAAGGTTTTGGGGTTGGAGGATGTAACAACAGAGTCAGGTAGTGCATTCCAGGCATTGACCACTCTGCTGCTGAAGTCGTATTTCCTGCAATCAAGTTTGGAGCGGCTGGGTGCCTTTTCTCCACCTGCCTTGGATTACAACACCCATCCTCCCCTTCCTCCCGGTCGGCCAAGCTCGAAGAAAGCAGCAGCCCAAAGCGAAAGCAAGAGCAGCCAAGGCGAAATCCCTCCTCGAAAAGAGTCCCTGAAGTCCGGCCAAAGTGGGTGGGGGGAGGGCAGCAGCGCCTGGCCGCTGTGGGGGGGGCTGCGAAGCCCCTTGGAGGTGCAGCAGCAGCCCACCTGTCTGGAGGGGCGTGGGAGGAGCTCACCTGTCGGAAGAGCAGCCCCCGCCGCTGGGCAGAGGCGGCGCAGTAGCATCGCTGCGGGAGGCTGGTGCGGGGAAGCGGCTGGTTCAGGAGCCGCCTGGTAGCGGCAGGGCATCCCCGGAGCAGCAGCCGCTTCATGGTCAGGTGTTGCCTCTTGATCCCGCGCCAGCTTTCCAGGAACCGGAGCGAAGGGCGAAGCGACGCCCCTTTAATATTGACTCGGCTGGGCTGGGCTGGGCTGGGCTGGCGGGGAGGGGAGGGGAAGGGAAGAGACGCGCCTCCTTTAAAAGGTCCAGAGGCGCCGCAAACGCAAGGCAAGTTTGAGCCTCGTGGACTTCAACTCCCAGAATTCCTGAGCTAACATGACTGGAGGAGGAATTCTGGGAGTTGAAGTCCACATGTCTTCAAGCTGTTTAGTTTGAAGACCCCTGGAAAAGTTAGAGAGGTAGAATAGAGAGAGAGAGAGAAAAGAGTGAGAGAGAGGAGAGAGGTAGAATAGAGATAGGATAGATAAGATAGATAGAGCAAAGGTCTTCTGCTTGGCCTGTGTGTGTGTGTGTGTGTACTAGATAATCTACAAGGTTTCTTCCTACTCTGTTAATCTTGGGAGGTGCCAATGGAAAGCAAACAAAACAAGGCCCTTTCCTGAAGAATCAAGGTCAATTCAGTAGTTATTATTGTCCCATCTTTCCTTAACAATTGGAAAATCTTTTTTTTTTTTGGCGTGGTTGTAAGAGCAAGGGTTAATGTGTGACTTTCTTAAGGCAGTGATGCCACCATAAATTATACTGACAGCCTTGATTTAACCAACCGCCATAGAACTCTTGCCTAGAGTCACGTAAACACCTTCTTTGAATAAAGATATAAATTCTTTTTTTTTAACTGTCTTCTTTTGAATAAACATATGAGTTCACACAGACTCACCCGATTGCATAAAGTCTTAAAAGACTTTGAATTCTTCCTAGTTTAAAGTCTTAAAGACTTTGAATTCTTCCTAATTTACCGGTTGACTCATATGACCCTCTGAACTGAACTGAATTGAACTGAGCTTTATCTGTTATGAATTCAAGATAGCATATGTGATTAGAAGTGTTCTTCTGTTGACCTTAGAAGTCACATGACGCCTGAAAATTCAAATTGCTGGAGTAAAATCCTGGATAATAAACATGGGTGTAACTTTTACGAGTTCATAAATTATTTATTCACCCATATACTCCAACTCTCTTCAATTATTATTTTTCAATGGGCTGTTCTCCAAAGTATGTTTGAAAAGCAGGGCAAAGCATACAAAAAATAGAAATCTGTATGGTACAATTTTTTAGCTACACTTCTTCAAGTCGTGGCTTTTTCTGTAAGACTATGGAATTTTCTGTTCTTTCTAGAGATTTTTGATGACAGGGATCTTTCAGTAGGAAAGATACATAAACTGATACAAAGAATATGCCAGAAGGGAGCGTAACTCAATCAGAATAGAGCTGGGAGGGACCTTGGAGGTCTTCTAGTCCAACCCCCTGCTAAAGCAGACCCTATACCATTTCAGACAGGTGACTGTCCAGTCTTTTCTTAAAAACCTCCAGTGGTGAAGCACCCACAACTTCTCAAGGCAAGTTGTTTCACTGGTTAATTGTCCTCACTGTTAAGAAGTTTCTCCTTATTCCCAGGTTGCTTCTCTCCTTGATGAGTTTCCATCCATGGCTTCTTATCTTGTCTTCTGGTGCTTTGGAGAAGAGGTTGACACCCCCCCCCTTCTTTGTGGCAGCCCGTCAAATACTGGAATATTGCTATCATGTCCCCACTAGTCCTTCTTTTCTCTAGACTAGCCATACCCAGTCCCTGCAACTGTTCTTCATATGTTTTAGCCTCCAGGCCTTTAATCGTCTTAGTTGCTCTAAGATGGAACTAACTCTTGCATTTCTCTGAATACCAAAACACAGCAGCTACCATTGTGCTTTCCCACTCATTCCCACTGCTCCCCCCCACATTACAATATTGATGTTAGCTAAGTCAGGGGAGTTAGGGCCACCTATAATCATGTCTGGGCTTTTGGCCAGTGCAAGGACATGGGGAAAAAAAACTAAACATGCTAGTTGCAACTGCACAGTTGAAGTCCTACCTTGTCATGCTGACACATTTATTTTATTTATTTCAAGAGTTACAAGGTCATTCAACTCAGGCTGTGTGACTGGGGAGCATACAACAGAAATGCATAATATTAATGAAAAAAAGGTTTTAAAAATTAACAATGACGAAAGCTAAAAGTTGTACAATGGCAATAAAGCACAGAACAAAACCAACCTCCACAGAGGACTATCTCTCAATGGCCCTCAGGTGCTTGGAGAATGAAAAGGGGTTGTAGGGTTGGTTATGAGGTTGCAGCTTGTCTTTGGGTGCTGAAATGGTAGCGATTAGCACTTAATTATGACTAGCCTCCAATAATAACCTTAAGCATAATTTTATTTATTAGATTTTTATTTCAGCCTTTTCTTTCTAAGCAACTCCAGGTAGCAAACACACACACAATACTCCTCCCTTTTCCTATTTTTCCCCATAACAACAACCCTGTGAGATGGGCTTGCCTGTGAATGGTTGGCCCAAAGCCACACAGTCCCTTTTTCCATGCCTAAGGCTGGACTAGAACTCACTGTCTCCTGACGATGCTTGGCCCCAAGTCACACAGCTGATTTTTCAAGCTTCTTTGAACAACCCCCATTCTTCCATAGGGCAAAGAGCTGCCAGCTTCAATTATGTGATATTACAACGTCTTTTTTTCAGGGATGCTATTGGGAATTCCAGTGAGCAGCCTGATAAGGTAGGCAGAGCACTGTACCAAGTACAATGTGCAATTTATATTTTGCTGTGTCATGAGACAGGGTGATGTAAGTGTCCCAAATTCCAGCAATTGCACCATTTTAATGTGGGGTAAGCCAAATGTCAAAAAAAATGTACTTTTTTTTTTACAGCAAATGTTCAGAAAAGCACCAGAGCATAATTTGCATCATTTCTGTGATTCATAGAGGGAATTTGGGGAAAGATTGTACATGCACCAAGGCAGTACATGATGCAATCCCTTAATCAGGTTTGTTGGTTTTGACACGTACTGTAAATACAACTCTTTTTCTTAAAAAAAAAAAAATCTCTGTTTTTCAGGGGAAAACTGTACGAGCATAACCAAAGAGAATCTAGCCAAGCTTAAGAGTACAAAATTGAAGTTTTGCTACATCCCTACACAGCTTGGGGGGGGGGGGGGGTTGGAGTAGATGACCTACAAGATCCCTTCCAACTCTGTTAATCTGTTAGAAAGGAAAAGTGAAATGTCTTATTTCATAGAATAACAGAGTTGGAGGGGACCTTGGAGGTCATCTAGTCCAACCCCCTGCGTGAGCAGGAGCCTCTAACTAGGATCTTCATCAAACGCTCTTGGATTCCCAGTGGGCAACAATGATTTAATAAAAAAATATTCCAGTACCCTCGTCCTTCTTCTTAACTAGCAAACTGTTCACTAAAATTGCTGAAAAGGTTTTGAAGCAGACT